GGAAGGAAGGAAGGAAGGAAGGAAGGAAGGAAGGAAGGAAGGAAGGAGAAGGGTAACGGTACCTCTCGGTTTCGGCTGGCAGCATTTCTTCAGGACAAAGCTAATGTTGTCTGTTTTCAGGATCTGCTTTTTGAGATGGTCCATCAGGCCTCGGAGAGAGGGGAACACTCGATCAGAGCCGTGCAGGGAGTATTTGCCCTTCTTCACTTCAATCTGGAAATTCTTGTACTGCTTCTGGCTCGTTAACATCTGCTATTGGGAGAATAACAACCACATATCATGTCGTGTTCAAGGGGAGCTGGGGGAGCAGTTTCATTTGGACATCTCCAGCTCCTAGCCTAGTGCCTGGTATGGAACAGTCACTTGATTTCCCATCTCTTTGCCTTAGCACTCACTGGCTGTGCCTCATGCCTGGCATGCTCTCTCTCCCCATCGCTGCCTCATAGAACCCCTCCGTTTCTTCGAGGCTGAGCTCCACCCCCACCTTCTTTCTGCCAGAAGTCTTTCCTGCTCCCCTAACTGTCAGTGCGTCCTCTGGATGGCCACCTTCCATCAGCTTGGTTATGTACCATGTCTGTACCGGCATGTGTATTTGTTGTCTGCGTGAGTAGAATGTAAGCTCCCTGAGGACAGGGGCTGTTTTTGTTTTGTCTTTGCATCCTCTGCACCTGGCGTGGTGACTGGCCCATGGAAAGTGCCTAATCTATGCTTGGTGTTGGATTGATGAGTGCTGGTTGAATTAAATGGGGAATGACTTCTTTGGCCATCTATATGTCATTGGTGTAGAGAACTAATGGGGAGAAAAGTCTCTTTTCAATACGAGTCAGCTCCTGTTCTGCATCTTACCTTACAGTAAGTCTCAGCAAGCGCTCGGAGCATCCTGACTCTGCCTCCCCCAAAGACAGGCCAGGCTGGGAGCCATCTAATCACACTCAAGGGACACTGAATTTCCTCCAAAGACTAATGGACAGGGAGAGTTGAGTATGACAAGCTCAAGCATTATTCATTAAGAGAGCAAGCATTTACCATCTAAGAGAGAATACTGCTTAGAATGGAAAGGGCACTGATTTAGGAAATCCTGACTTTGGAGCTTCCAAGCTATAGGACCTCAGGTTAATCAGTTAACGGCTTTGGGCCTCAGTTTTCTCATCTATAAAATGGGCACACACATAACCCACTTTCATTACAAACCTCAGAATTAGTTCAAGGTTCAAATGAGATAATGCATGTAAAGCACTTTTACAAGCTTTAAAGCTCGGCTGAAATGTCAGTCACTATTATTAGCATGATGAAGCACTTTTCATAATCATTTCAGTGACCCTAGTATCAACCCAGTAAGATCGGTACCACAGCCATTTTGATCCTGGGGAGGTGACATGGTCCAGTGGAGATAGCACTGACTAGAGTCAATGGACCTGGGTTCAGATCTCACTTCTAATGCTTATTACTCATACGACCTTGGGCAAGTCACGTAACCTCCATGGGCCTCAGTTTCCTCATCTGTAAAATGAGGGGGTTGTACTACATGGCCTCTGAAGCCTCTCCCAACCATAGCTGTATGATCCCTACTTTACTAGAGAGGACCTTGAGGCTCAGGGGGCTTAAATACTTGCCCAGAGTCCCAGAGGTGAGATCGAGTCCAGGATTGTGTGAGGTCCATGTGTGGAAAAATGCATCCACTAGAGCACATCTCCTGCTAAGGCATTTAAAAAGTGGGGTGGGGAGCTATTCTCTTGACATTGGCAGAAGATCAGCTTTTTCAAATACATTCTCCCATGTTTTCCCTTTGGTAGCTCTGATTTCCTTCTGTCATTTCCTTTTCTCAGATGATTTGAATTCTCTCAGGCCTTTGGCCACTTTCCCTGCCTCTGTGTCTGCTGTCCAAATGCCTCCCAATCAAGCTCACCCTTCTCCAAACTAGGACGTGCTTACTTGGTATAGAAAACTGTGTTTCCCATTCATTTTGCCCTTACAGGGCAGTGATCCACCAAGACGTCATTCAGTCCCGAGGTCCAGAAGGTCCCTTGAGCCCCGGCATCTCTGGGCTGGACGGAGCTTCACGGGACACTTAGTCCAAACAGGATCTGATCAGAATCCCATCTATCATATCCCTGGCAAGTGGTCACGTAGCCACTGCTTCAAGACCTCTGGCGAGAGGAACCCACCACCTTGCCCATTACATGCATTCCTTTTTTTTTTTTATAAGTTTTTCTCTTTTTTTATGTATTTTGGTTTTTACATAACAATCATTCATAGAAATAGGATTTTAGATTTGAAACAGAAAGGAACCTCAGAGACATCTAGTCCAACTCTCATTTTGTAGATGGGAAAACTGAGGCACAAAGAGGTAGGTGTCACCTGCCCGCCTCTGGTTTGCAGACTTTTCCTAACATCAGGATGAAATCTGCCTCCCTAGAATTCCCCACAGTATGGAAGGAGATCCACACTGGCCAGGCCAGGTCGTCCACTTCTTGAAGGAGATTGCTGAGTCCAGCTCTCAGAACCAACCCCACGACCGTTCACCCTACAGACTGGCTTCCGCCACCCCTGTTCTATTCCTGTCTTCCATGGGACAACAAGGCAGCCCCAGGCCAGGCTCCATTAGACTGACCACCACTCCCCCGCCACCTCCCCAAGCCGAAGCCTGAGCTGACCTCTGACTTCTCCAAGCAGGTCACGGTCATGAGGATGTTGTCAAAGTCCGTGCAGCTCCAGCGCAGAACGTACATGCCCTCCTCGCTTCCTTCTTGTCTCAGTTTGTTGATTGCATACTCAGTACTGGAGGAAAGGAAGGGAGATCACAGCGAGCCACCATATTGGATCTGCGTCCTCCCGCCTCACCCCCAAGCATGTCCCGGGGCTTCCTAGCTGCCCTCTACTCCCATGGTGCCCTTGTTCTCCTTGTCGGTGTTTTCTCATTAGATATTTATCTTTACATCCAATGGACACCTTTATTTCTATATCACATTGATTTGAAAATACATTGGAATTTAATATCTGCCCTCCCACAACAGTCTTCCCTTGAAACAAAGATAGTAAAAAAAAAATTCATCAAAATGAACAGATTGACCACTTCTGAAAGTATATGCAACATTCTTCACCCAGAGTCCCCCACCTCTCCTATGGAAGGAAAAAAGTGCATTCTCTCTTTTCTTTTGTGATGTCGAATATGGTCATTTGAATTCTTTCTGACGTTATTATTTTAAAGCAAGGCAGCAGGAAGCATATAGAAGTAGATGGACTTGCCCAAGATCTCCCAGGCTCAAGAGTGGCATGGCCAGGACTAGGAATCTAATCCTTGATTCCAATGTTAAATCACTTGCCCAAGGCCACACAACCAGGATATGTCAGATGTCACCCTGATTCTGAGGCTAGCTCTTAATGCTCAACTACCACACTGATTTACAAAGAATCACGTGGGGGTGGGGTGAGGGGTGGTGTGGGGAAGGCAGTGGAGGGGAGGAGTGTGCCCGAAAGTTGGAAGGAAACTTACCAACATGATCTCAGGCAAGACCAAAGGATCTTCCTTTATAGTCTGCAAGGGTGTGCTGGAGCCAGCTCGTACCAGCTCACAAGAGCTGATGCTTAAATTTTCAGTGTGAGCATTTATACCTCGGAAATCAGTACATGCTACAAACCAAGGCTGGATTTACTGTTTTGTTGATTGTCTAGACTTAAGAAAGTCTGATAATGATGCAGATTAACCTAAAAAGCATGCCATGCATATTTTTTGGTTTCGTTTTGAGAGAACTGGTTGTTAAATATTTACCAACACACCACTGCTTGTAAGGCACATGTGACGTGAGCAGACAGAAGTTAAGAGTTCTCTCATTCTGGTTGAGTCTTGGCTGGACCTAGTCAACCACTCTCCTCACGGCCTTTGTTTTGTCCATTTATAAAAGATCAATTAACTAAATAATTTATCCCCAATCTTGAAGTTCTAAGTCTCAAAATTAATCATTCTCATGGTGCGCTTGGGGATTCTGGTAGAAACATAAGGGAGTGGTCACTCATCAGCTTTTCTTCCCTTCTCATTAGATTTTTGCCACTCCCTCCAGAATATTTGGGGATGGTTCTACGGCCTATGGACTGGAAGCCAAAAGACCAGGGTTCTGGCCTGGTGTCATGTGACCAAGAGTGAGTGAATGACCTTCTCAGTCATCTGCAAAGTGACTGTGAATTAGATGACTTATGAGGTCCCTTTCAGCTCTCAATTCCAATATGCAAAGAGTGTTTGAAGGAAGGGAATGGTACTAGAGAGAGGGCTGCACCTGGATTTGAATTCCAGCCCTCCCATCACTCAGCCTTGAGCTTGGGTTAGCCTTGACACATCCAGTCAGCTGCCCAATCCTTCCTCCACAGCACCTGTCCCACAGTTCTCTTGTCCATGTGGCCACCACACTAGACCAGGTCCTCATCACCTTCCTCCGGGATCACTCCTCCTACGTGGTCTCCCCTTTTCTCTCTCCCCACATCAATCCATCCTTCACCCATCTGCTAAAGGGCAGACAAGGTCACCTCCCTGCTCAATAAATTCCAGTGGCTTCCTATTAACTTTAGAATGAAATATTTATTTTTACATGTAACTGGGGGAAAATATTTTTTTAAAAAAGAGTGAAATATAAACCCTTCTGTTTGCTATTTAAAGCTCTTCATAATGTGGCTTCTTCCATATTACTTCCCATCATCCACTTGGTGATATACTTGTATTTCTCACACGGGACAGCTTGAGGGTGCAATAGATAGAGCCCTAGTCCTGGAATCAAAAAGACCTGAGTTCAAATCAGGCCCTAGACTCTTATTAACTGGGTGCCCTTGAGAATGTCACTTGACTTCTGTTTGCCTCAGTTTTCCCAACAGTAAAACGGGATAATAATGACACCTCTCCCCCAGGATTGTTTTGAGAATAAAATAAGATAACATTTGCAAGGTTTGTATTTTGCAAACCTTGAAACACTATGTAAATGCTGGCTATTACTACTGTTGTTGCTGCTGCTGTTATTATAAAGTGCAGTATTTTGTAATGAATACGATCACCGAATTATCTAGCTAGGACTGGAAGGATCCAGTCCTCTCATTTTACACATGAGGAAACTGAAGCCCAGGGACATCATGTAGGGAGTAAGTGTCAGAGACAGGATTTGAATTCAGAGCCTCTAAGTTCTGAGCCAGGGTCCTTCCTCATTGCCAGAGCTGTCAGAGGTGGATCTGAACTCAGGTCTTTCAGACCTCCAGCCCAATGATCTGTCCATCACAGCACACTGATTCTCCAAAGTCTGTCCAAGCCAAATCTGCACTCCATACTGGACACGCTGCAGACGGCATTGGGGGTCCTTAAAGAGATAACAAGGAATGTGGCCACAGAAGGACAGCCCGAGGACCAGAAAAGGTCTCCGAGGTCAGCAAAGCCAACTCTCTATTTCACTGGGGAGAAATGGGAGGCTCAGAGAGGGTAGGTGATTCTCTTAAGGTTGCTCAGCAAGGAGCATCACCTGTGGGATTCGAACTCAGGCCCTCACTCCAGGGATCAGGTCTCTTGATGGTGAAGATGAGCAGCTGAGGGCTTGACGAAGAGCCCACGGGGGAGGATTTATGAGGGGCCTGACCGAATCGAATGTCGTGACCAAGAATGAAAATCCCTGGAGCAGAGTCAAGGGCTGTGGGACAGCTGCAAGGCCTGAGGGCAGTGGGGACGGGGAAGCCAACCAGCTTCCTTCCTGAATTGCTTCACACCTGTGAGTGGCGGACTGGGCTGGCCAGCGTCACGACAGACGGAAACCCACAGGCCCTGTGATTTCACTGACAAAGGGAACTTCTGAATGAGGACAGTCCTTCCACCGGTGCAAGGCAGCACCTCGCCACTCTTAGAGAATAATTGTGTTTTTAAATAACTAAGGTTAAGAAGCCCAGATCTATAGATCCCCTAACAAGTGGTCAGGAAAGCAGGGAATGTTTCATGCTTAGCCCTGGGTCCTGTGTGGAGTGAGCACTCAATAAACACTTGTAGATGTTGTCACCCAGCCTCTGCCCTTGCATGCTGACAGTGATGGGGAGCTCATCACCTTTCTAGGCAGCCCATCCCACCTTTGGCCAGCTCTCACTATTCCACAGATTTCCCAAAGACTGAGTTCAAATCTCTCCCTTCCACCTTGCAGTTTCCTAGTTCAGCTCTCTGGGGCCAATCAGAAAGAGTCTAATCTCTCTTTGGCATGACAGTGCTCCGAACATCCACATACATGCTCCCTCTCCTGTATGTGTGGGAAATGATCCCCCGCCCAGTTTCTGTTCAGCCCTAGATACTACGACCCCTGGGTGTCGCTGGGCAATTACTGCCCTGGGTCGTCTCCTGCAGCCACTTCCGGTAACTCTTCATGGGTCTTGTCTCCCCATAGAGATCCTAAGGTTGTTGAGAGAGCCTGGCTATCGTTCTTTTGTGTATCTTCTATCCTATCCAGTTCCATAACGGTCACACAGTAGGGACTAAACAAATCTTTGCTGCATGAGTTTATGAGATGGAAGTCCCGGGTTCAAACCCTGCCTCTGACACTTATTTCCTGTGCGATCTAGGCAAGTGATTTCACTTTCCTGGGCCTCAATTTTCCCAACTTCAAAATGAGATTGGATTCAATGGCCTCTGAGGGTTTTTCCAACCCTGGAACTCCGGTCCTTTGGCCAGCATGGATGAAGGACCCGGCCTGTGGGCAAGAAGCAGAGTCCACACTTCTCAAGCATGTGAGAACAGCTTGCAGAGCAGACCCCTTGAGGTCAGCCACAGAATCAAAGACAGAGATGGAAAAGACTTTAGAGGCCATCCAATCCAACTCCTTCATTTTACAGACGAGGAAACTGAGGCCAAGAGGAGTTATGTGACTTGTATACAAGTATCTAAGGCGGGATTTGAAACCAAGACTTCATGACTCCCAAGTCCAGAATTGTACCCATTGCACCGGGCTGCCTGTAAGAGCGCTATCATCCTCATTCTACCAATGGGAAGAGAGAAGCTGAGAATGCGGCTGAGTGGCCGTGACATTCACAAGGCCTTGGGTCCTGGGGTCAGGCCGTGGACCCGGGTCATCTAGTGTTTATCCAACTATGCCAACGCCACAGAGGTTGAACTGATCCCCTTGGTGTTATCTAACATCAGCAGAGCTAACTCAACAGCACACACACACACACACACACACACACACACACACACACACACACAC